ATTAGAGGAAATATTCGCTTGCCTTGCTATTTTTGAGCATACAAAAGTGATCATTTTACTAGCCTATGCGTGTTTGTGATTAAAATGGACCAAGTGAAAAATATTTGCCTTAGTTGCTGAAAGGATTCTGCTTTACTCAATTAAGATACTAAGAGATAGTATCTTGAAGGCGACGCATAGTTAACGTGAACTCCTTCGCAAGAGGCATTTAAAGGCATAGTAGCATTGAATTTGGAGTAGTTAAGATAACCATAAGGAGTAAAGAAAAGGAAGAAAGAAGTAACATTCATCGACTGCCCAGGCTTTGTTGTGTTGTTTTTGGGTGTGCTATCACTGTTGTATGTGAGATAATTTCTTAAAAGGCTAAAGGCACTGAATGGGGGTGGAATGAAGTTAGAGGAGGAGTTTGAGGATTTAGTTATATAGGACTATGCAACAAGTGGAAGGGATTCTTCCTTGAGCTTCCTGGATTGCAAAATTGTCTGTACGAGATGCATATCTTTCGAATGAAATACGAGGAAACGACCTAATGAAAGACTTCCGTGGGGGAAGCTGAACGACAAAATTATCATTAAGCTTCTCTTTGAGGAGACTATTGAGTTAGTGAGGAAACCAAAAGTACAGAAAAGTGCAAAATTTGGTAAAGAAGGGAGGGACGGATATGCCTCGGATTATCTGTTGGAGCTAAATAAATCGCATTTATTTATTTTTACGACTTTCGACATATGCTAAATGTTTCCAAAGTCTCATGTGTCTGGATGTTTCGAAAGGTATTCACAGGGTGGCACCGGAACGGAGGGCCGGATCACAATCTGCTGTTGAGGCCCAGGCAGGGCAACCTCTGACGGGGTTTCGGCTGCTCCCGAAAACGTTGGAGTTTGTGGTGAAATAAGTAAAGGAAAAGCTTGGCCACTGGACAGGGGAGGCACTTGCTGGAGTGGCGTACTCGTGATTGATATCGCCTCACGGCCACACCAGCAAATCTCCCGGCCTGAGGCTGCTGAAATGTCAATAGCAGCTGCCGTATCTACGTCCAGCAATAGAGCAGTGGTATCCGTTTCCGAGCCACATTGTTGTTCCAGTAGTCCAGCATAACGAGGGGCAGATGAGGGCGTCCCAGCATGGGTGCAGGAGGAACCTTCTGTTGTAGAGCCGGAATCAAGCCCTGCTTGACTCAATCCAAAGGCCTCTTCTTTCGATTGCCGTACGTCGTTTTTTGTCTCAGCTCTAAACAGGCAACCTGGCGTTTGACTACAAAGCTCGGTTACCATGGTGATTGTAGGCAGCTTAGGCAATGCGTAAATGGGAGCTGCATTGCCGCCCAACCCGGTGATGAACTGACTGTGGAACTCGCCGGTGGACACCGCGATCGTCCCCTCCATAGGACAAGTGTCCGACCACGTGTCCACCAGCCCAGTCTCGGAGCAAGCTAGGGCCGCCGTTTCGCCGTCTAGACTTAGCAACAGCCTAGGCTCGCCGGCCAGTCTGTTGGCGGCACATGAAGCTGAGCCCAACTCCGCGGTACGGCCGACAGGTTGACGGTCGGAGGAGGCATTGATGCTGGTCCCTCGTGGTCGGCCACTTGTGTCTGCGAATGTTTGAGGTAGGATTTGTGGGCTGCGAACTAAAAGTCGGGATGGAAGGGTGTGTTGTAGTACTCCTGAGATGAGGTGTTTTTTGCTTGCTTGCCCAGTTGCCGGATTGACCAACCCGGCGGAGACAAGACTGCCGGTCGTAGCGTTCGAGACGTTTGGGCCAGCGGTTGAGAATGGAAACAGAGACCGTGAGAACGTGGACGGCAAGTCGACGGTCATCTGCTCAAAAATGCCGGAAGAAGCTGGGTAATGCGAGTTCAATGATTGCAGTGTACTGGCCAGAGAGGTTGGCTAAAGAGGTATGCAAAAAAGTTCATGTGGTACACACATTTGTTCCTCTTTTGATCCATCGGTTCGTCTAGCAATTCAGATCTAGCCATCGA